GAGAGAGAGAGAGAGAGAAAGACGGCTGCGTTCACGTTCAGAAGGCATCGGCGGAAGGCCAGTGAAAACGCCGTTGTAACGGTTCTGACACACGGACACCGGTGGAGATATAGGTGTTCGTTGATTGAGTGTAATCTGTTTTGTTAATTGCAAGGTCCGCAGAGTCCGATACCTGCGGTTGCGTTCTGCTGTGTTCAGCGCCGGCGAGCCGGCCTCTGTTCCACCCTTCTCTCGTCTCTCTCTCCTTTGGAGCTGTTTCCATGTATCTGCGACGTGACCAGCAACAAGCCAGACCACAGTCAGGCTGCCTTATGGGGTCCATGGTGGGCAGAGATGGGATCGAGCATCTCGCAAGTAAGTCTGAATCTTTGGTTGTTGAGTACGAATCTTTTGTAAATATTTCCAATGGTAAATATATGTAGTGCCGGAGCATGTATATTGTACCGTGACATTCTTGCAATCTCTCTCTAGAAATCATGGTTGCTTCAAGTACTGATTGTGAGAGACAATTGACAACGTGTTTTATAGTTCGGCGAATTCTCGAATGAATGTAATCATCGAAACGAAGTGAATCATCGCTCGTGTAGAATCCTGATTCTCAAGAATCTTCGATCGAATTTCTTATGAATGTAGTTCTACGAATCTGTAGATGCTCATTCCGTGTTCATTAAACACACTGTAAAGATGAATACAACGAATGAATTACACGCAGTTAAGACAAATGCATCTCAAGTGTATTCATTGTGGCATTTTTACTTCATCCGCGTAGTATCGGATGCTTAAGTTTATATATCGACTCTTGACTCGGATTCGTAAATAGGTACGTGTAAACCTTGATCCCATCGCTAATTGGCGATGAGCCGAGTTTGATAGGGCGTTCGGTTAAACGACTAATTGCAACAACGATGCGCGCGCGCCTCGACGATTTGCGGAATTGCGATCATATCCGGCGTCATTGTATCGGCTATCGGCGAGCATAATAGGCGTGCAAGGCCACGTGTGAGCGCAAATGGACCGTCGAAAGCGGAGTTCAGCGTTTTTCCAGGCTGGCCGCCAGTCATTTTTCAAAAGCCACCCTCCGCCGGAATCGGCGTGCAGTCATTCGCCGTCGCGACAGCGGCTGTTGGCGACCATTGGCGACTCTCGCGTTTTTTCTTTCTTCCCTCTCTCTTTTTTTTCGCGATTTCTATCCTTTTTTTTCTATTTTTCTTTTTTATTTATTTCTCCGTTCCTCCTGGTGCCGGTGTCGTTCCATCGTGAGTCAGTTTCGGCGTGCCGGCGTGAAAAACGAGCGCGCTGAATTTATGGGCGGGCTTTGTGCGCTGTTTTATACCACGAAACCTTTCATGCGACTTCGACGAACGATCTGTGGGTTTTGCCCGACTCTTGGCCAATTACGACTGAAAAATATCGACGGCCGAAGGCCCCGTGATTGCAAAGGAACGATGAGGGTACTAAATTTCTGGGTGGTTTAACGCGGTTCCGCGATATTGACACTTTGAAACTACTGTGTGTCTTTGTTTGACGGTTCGAGGCTTTATTGCGAGGTTTTCTTCGTCGAAGCAAGTATCCGGCACTTTTGGTTGATATCCTTCTAAATAGCGATCCTCGTAGAAATATTTGTTCCAGGTCGAAAGATTGACTTACATATTTAGTATTACTGGTGATTAATATTAGTAAATTGGCAATGTACAAATTGTAAGTGATTTTAATTTCTACGATGATGTTTATCATGGAATTTGGTATATTTGTCGGTTTTATAATCTCTAATTTGTAAAAGTTGTGTGTGAAATTTCTTTCATTTTCTTATCAAATTTGTTACCCTTGTGTGGAATTATTAATTCTCATAGTTTGCAACTTCTAACTTTAATTAAAAGGAATAGAATTGATACCTAATCTTTGAGGAGTCAGCTTTAGCCGTCTGTGACCATACATCCACGTAATAATTTGATGTAGAAGAAACATAACGTATAAAGTAGAAAATAAGAGAATTATGGTAACACAAAACAAATAAATAAAGTTTATAAAGTTCATTCATTCAATCATCGGCTAATACCAAATCCCTTGATAAATATAAAACTAATTAATTTCTTACAAAGCGCTTTTCAAAGTTCGTCTTTGAGCGTGAAGCACATTAAAGAGCGCCCTTTATTCAAGAAACTTCGAGTACTTTGGAGTTAATAATAAAATGTTACAAAGAGTCTGCGAAAGTTGTATTCTACAAAGAGTAGAGAGTGTCGAAGGAAGAAAATTCGGATCTAAAGTAAGGAATATTCGATCGACTACCCTTTTGCATATATTTATTTAGATAATAACGATAGAAATATTTCCTATATTACTAAAAGAAACAAAATATTTAAACGTACGTATTATAGACAAACATCTGTATGAATGAACATATTGAATATTTGAACCTTCCAGATTTAATTAATTTTTCATAATTTTTTTAAATTTTATCATTAACTGATTTACTTCTAGAAGTTTATTTGTTATAAATAAATTCGACTGATCAGTATGACTTCTGAACAGCTCGTAATTAAAGCATGCTTAACAATACAGAAACCGGATACTTTTCCTCTTATTTCTACATTTCAATTATAGGAATACTTTTGTTTCTCGTTGCACGCCGAGCAGGAGTTTTTAATATCAAGCCAGTCGTTTTTCAAACGTTGGCAACGTCAACATTCATAAATTATACCGAGATCCATAAATGCTTGATAGCACTCGTGCCGCGTATTAAAAACGACAATTACGATCAAAGTTTGCGTTGCAACGAGATATGACAGTTGCGGACGTCAACGATTTGATTAATGCTGATTACGTACGTTTCCAACGTCGCGTATTTTTTTTTTCTTTTTTTTTTTTTTTTGCAAATTGAAACGAAATCACAGCGAATTCACACCCTTGTCTATTTTTCCAACGTTTTCGCGCGTTTACTTTCGGATTAAAATTTTTATGAACCTCTGCACGTGTCGATGATAATTTTCGCGTTGAAAAATATTCAAACGTTGAAACAGACATGGCGCGCGACAACGTCATGCGAATTCGCATTTTTTTTTTTTTTTTTCGCCTGTGTCGAATGTCGAATCACGGTGAACTTGCAGTTTTGCCCACTTCTCCATGCTTTTAATACTGCATTAAAATTTTTATGAATTTCTGACTGCGTCGATACAAATTTTTATGCTAAAAAAGAAATACTCGGTATTGAAATGTATATAATCGTAGAACAAATGAAAATAATGTCTTTGTAAGAATATCGAATTCACTGCACCATAACAAACTTCCTGTGTAATGTAATTATTAGGTCGCGGATTTTTATGTATTTTTATATTTCTTGCGAGCAGCAAATACTATGAATATTAATATTTTTACGAAAGTAAAGGAACATGAAATTTATTATTTAAGAGGTAATTTTGTAGACTTTTATAAATATATAGAAATCTGCTGCCTAGCAATTATCATGCAATCTATCTTTAAAATCTACAATAATGATCTTTACTTGGATTCTATTCCTGAAACACTATACTTCAACAACATCGGTCAATATATTATAATTCTAATTAACTGAACACCTATGTCAAATGTCACGTTAGTTATCGATGAACTATCAGATTTAATATAAATTATTTATTAATAGGAATTACAATTTTGTAAATCACAGATCTAAATATTCGATTCAACGTAAATCACTTTTAAATTTAATTTCAATCTATTCCTAGCCACAGGATCAGATAATTTTAGATTATCTGAATTTCAATAATCTAAAATGAATCATCATTATAAATTATTGTCATAAATCATTTACAGCCGGGCGACACTGTTCGGGCATTAAAGCTTCATAAGTCAGAGATTTAACGAGATGCGACGTTTCTAATATAAGAACATGAAATATAGAATCTCACAAAGAGAACCGTCTGAAGCAAAAAAAAAAAAAACTTTTCTACGGGACTGTACATTAATCAATACGAAATCATTGCCTAACGAGTATCGCGACACATTTTTCCATCGGGACAAAGAACAACGATAACGATCATCCAATACTGCTTTCCGGTTAAAGTAGGATCTCGAAAGGGTGTATCTAAATTCGATATCCGATAAAAAAAAAAAAAAAAGAAAAGACCTGGATACCATCTCCAATTATACCTCTTCCAATTTATAGTCTAGTTTCGATCATTTCCCTGGTCGTTAATCGTGCTGTGCCACCGTTTCGAGAACAGTCCTCCCGACCGGGACTTTAAAATTTACCGGACGTTCTCGTTTTCTTTTAACTTCTCGTTTTGTCAAACGGTAAGAAGTTCGCTCGCCGAGAAGCGTCCTAGTTTCACTTCGCTTCCGTTCTCCTCTCCTTACAGATAATGCGAAAATAATCATCGCCGGTAACGAGAAAACTTCTCGACGTTTTACTGAACTCGATAATGTAAATACCTCCACCCTCCCCGCCCCGCCGTCGTCTATCTCACGGCCGAATTAGAGAATCGCGAAATACGCGTGTCCAGCTAAGTTTTTTGCTCGCTTGTTATTCTTACGAGAAACGTTATGCGAAACGATGTTGCGATGTTCGGCGCAGTGTTGATAACGTTATTGGTAGATTGGAAATTTTCGTATTTTTATTAATATACCATTATGTATATTGAATACAATTATATACATTAAAATGTAGTGAAGCGAACAATTATGTATATTGGAGCCTGTAGTGAAAATTTGTTACTGCTACTATTTTCGATATTTTATACGTTCTTGCACACTGCGTGCACTCTCTGCGTTTTCAATTAATAACAGATCCGTAGTTCATATAATAATGAATTCATGTTTTTTTTTCTTTTATAATTTAACAAATATTTCCTGGGTTTCATTAAATGTTATAACGAGCATTGTAACTGGATACTTTATGTACTTTTCTACATTATAATATATTCCCGTAAATGAGTAAAAACTAAACTACGTTTTATTTAATTTCGGCTAAAAGTTCCTCCATGACACAGAAAGGTAAAAATAAAAATTTTCGCCCGGAATGATTGATTAATATTAAATTTCGAATCTCGTGTCAATTGAAACGTGAATTTTTCTAAATAATAATTGTCACCGAGATTGCAGTTAATTAGAATTCGACACGATCGAAGTCCTTTGATTGAAGACATTCTTTCAAAAGAAGAAAAAAAAAAAAATAATTAACTTGTATAAACTCATATTCACTGGAGTCTCTTACGCATTTGTAATTACTGAGCACAACCGTTATGGAGTTTCTCTCTCTCTCTTTCATTCTCTCTATATCATCACTATCGAAATACAATCGAACAAGCAGTAATTGCATCCTTGATCGCTTATCGTCGAGGAACAACTCTCGTTTAATTGTTTCTGCTTCGAATGATTGCGTGATTGCCAGTTGTTGTGATTAATAGTCGAAACGAACAGAACGAAAGTCACTGCACGATCGATCGACGGGTGCAAAGATTTAAACAGCGATCCTTAAAGCGTGCTTGTTTCGTATGCAATTCGAGAACAGCTTGGCGATATTTATTACCGTCTTATTCGATATTTATTGCCTTTGTAACTGCGTGGCTTCGCGCGACATTACCATCTGCGATTATGGTGATTCTATTGAACCGTCGAATAAGTTCGTGTCGAGGTTTCGTTTCGCGGCGAATTTCTTTCAGTAACAACCGCTCATTGATCGTGGATTGAGTCGTTTCGTGCACGCCGTTCTCGATTATTCGATTTGTACGAAGTTTTGTTATTTCGGAATTTACGTTGAAATTTTGAATGTAAACGATGTTGCAAATGAACGAAAAAAGAAAGAGGACAATTAATTTCTTCCGCGGATAGTTCGAAATTCTAACGTTATTGAAACTTTCTGATGAAGAAAAACTAACAAGAAGCTATTCAACTCCATTAACATTAATCAACGAAAAAGTTATACTTGAAATTTTAATATCTAAATAATAAATATTTAATAGGTTCTATATCTAATTACATAAAGCAAAAGTCACTGTCACTCTGGTAATTCTTAGCAAGTTAATACAACTACTTTAGTACAATTGCTTCATGTTTATAAAGGACAAATGTGTATGTAAAACGCATTAACTTTTAGTTACCAAATTATTGTATTATTAGCGTTCCTGAAATCGACCATTCAATGTAGGACTTAACCTAACAATAAATTTCCCGAACACAGTTACTTTCACAGATAATCCCCACCAACGTGTAAAATAACTAACGGAACTGCTGAACGTTTCGGTGCGAAGAAATCGTTTCTCATTGTGTGGCAAATCGATTTGACATCTGTCGAACGGTCGCGTTGAATCGCGATACGCAATATTAGAAAGTCAATGCACTCACCGGTCGTGTACATGGCGACACCCTTCAGGGTCACTGGCTCGAGAATGGCAGGCTCGCTCCTCCCCTTTGCATTAATCGCGTACAGAAAAAGTCGATAACTCCTTCCTGTCGTTAGGCCTGCCACCTCGAAAGTCGGCCCGTTCGGGCTGGCAGGCACGGTTTTGTTCAATAAAATTGGCCCACCGTCCTCGTCCGCCACCACTTCCAGCTGGTAGCTGTGGATCGGAAGGCCACCGTCGTAACCCTCCAAGCAGCGAACGATCAGTCCTGTCCCGGACTTGGCGTTCAGTTCCTCCGCGTCCAAAGGCGCGGACATTTCCGTCGTGCTGCAGTTGTGCAGAGCGTACGGACGTCCTGCGGCTATCACCTAGAAAATATGGCCGTCCGTGGCTCAGTAATGGATGTATCGTTCGCCCCGAATCCGATCGACCGTTCGAAAGGCCGCGCTTTCCACAATTGAAAAAGTTTCGATTTCGATTCGCCAAGTTCGGCCGAGTCGCGAACACTTCTCAAGCCACGGGCCAAGATATCCCGCTTGTCTCGATCCATTAAAACATTGCTCTATGATTTTTGAGAATTGAAGAAAATTTCTGCTGCCTCTTTCGTAGGTTGTTTCAATCTCGTCGAGTTTCAAAACAATTTCGATGTACGAAGATTGCAGAATTTTAATGCGATAGAAATTTGATTTATTAAAGGAATAACAGCAGAATTCTTTTGATTCTCTTTTCCAAACTTCATACGTGTACGTGATTTCTGGCGAAGTTATAATAACAAATGTACTACTAACTTCATAAAATTAAAATTTCGAATTTTCTAATAATTTTAAGAAAGAAGAACACGGCGGTATATAAATCTTTTAATCAATTATAAATATTCTACATGTAATTCACATAATTTAAATTAATTATGAATATTCCAAGTTAATTATTCTCAGAAAATGTTTGCTTCAACAGCTGCCGTATTTTTTATCAATTAAAATTATTCAAACATCATATGCTAAATAATTTCATAAATTGTAACGTGTCAGAATTTGAGGCTGTACTATTACATACAACAAACATTAAAATAAACTAAACTAAAAGTTGCTACTAAAGCAGCATTCTGTGGAAATGAAATTTTGAAAAAAATGATAAAAATTTATGACCTAGTTAATGGAGTGGCACGGAATTTATCGAGAAAATTCCACTATGACACAAAATTTAAAATAACTCCTGCCGTTTGCGCAATAATTTCGATGTAGCTGTCTGTGCAGAATATTGTGTGATTAATATAACTGCACTTAGATTGAGTAGATCAATGTAACGATCATATGGCACTATGTTGACTCAATTAATTGATAGAGCTTGATTAATAGAGTTGACTGAAACTGGCACATAATGTCGTATAGACATTGATTATTACAAATATTTACGTAAATGGTCAAGAAGAGAACGTATAATTTGAAAATTAATTTGGTTCATGTACGACGAAAAGATTTAACCTGATCAGAATTAGATTTATTTGAATATAATATGAAATGCAAGAAGGAATGAGATGTAAGAAGTCCAGTTTCGATATGTTGTATGATAATTCGATTAAGAAAAACAATTGCGCGAGATCATATTCACAAAATTATATTCTCTTTTCAAAAAAGCACGCATGAACTGAACGAGAATAGAACATCTTTTACTATTAAAGGTTTAAACAAGCTTTTTGGAAAATTAACCAGAAATCTTATGTACAAGATTTATCAACAATATCAAATAAACACACCATCTTGTTTCATCCATATTTCAGCCAAATATTTATATTCGATTAACGAATATCTTTTTCAAAAACCGAATAAGAGCTCTTGACAAACATGTACCATTTTCATTCATCTGCCCATTATATTCGATGCATGTCAGTCCACGAGTGTACGAAGGTTCACAGACATTTTGGTAGATCGAACATTTTCCATTTTCGAAGAAATTCAATTCCGGACCATTAAAAGCAATTCTGTGTTTGCACGTTCTGCAATACGCTGGTCGCATACAAACACGTATCGGCGCATTTCTTTCTGATAGACTCAACTTTTGCAGCAGATTTTTTCAATTGATGAATCTTGGAAACTTTGCCAATATACTATGAATTTCTACATTATTAAATTTCTGAAAAGTGTAGAAAAATTCGTGTCTAAAATTCTAGCCATCGCACGAGTCAAGTAAATTTAAATGTGTAAAATTGAACGACTTGCACCAAAGGAATAATTTGTCCTCTGCAAATGTCGCAAATTTTGGTTCCCTAAACTGCACGAAAATGCGCATCGTGTTTCATTTTCTGTGGGGTTTATTCTTTCGAAAGTCATTGCAACGCGCGCACCGGGTATAACATCGAAAATGGTCAAATCGTGTTCAAGTTCAAAACGTGCAGTTTGTCGAGAAATCGAAGTCGAATTTTTCACTGTGTCTCTGCGTCGGTATCAAGATGTCAAGAATAAAACGAAAAATACACGAACCGACATAAAAACTACGGTGACTCGCAAAAATCCAGTACAAAGTAGAAAAGAAAATACTTTTTCCCTTCACTCTAAAATTCTTTACTCTACTAGAATTTATCTTATTTTTAACTATCGTTTGCATTTCTTTTCACTCGTGAATCACTACTATCTTACAAAAAAATTATACTTGAAATACTGAAATAAGAAAAGAAAAAAAATTAATCATTCAAGAATGAAACATTTCTATTCATAAAGCATCAACGAATTCAGCAACGAAAAACATCAACGTAAAATATCAAAAATAATGGGTACAAGTCTTCGAAAATCACACACACACACACACACACACACACAAGAAGAAAGAATCATTCAAGTAAAATTATTCTGGCTAATGCAGCATCGCGTTCCAAATGATACGATGCAATGAACAATCGCGAAAATTGCAAGCTACCGGCGCCACGTAAGAGAAACGAGAGAAGTGCATTTACCTGAAAGAGACATGGCGTTCGTTGCTTGCCAACCTGGTTGCTCGCCCAGCACGCTACCGTGCCGTAGTCCATTTCCGTTGCGGGTGTGTAGTTCAGCCTGGACCCGTGGAACTGTGGATACTCCTTCAAGCTTTCGGCAACGGACGGCGTGCCGACCGCCGCCACCATATGAGAGTAACGAGAATGAGGCACCTCCACCAATTCGCCGGAATTATTGAATGTCCAGTGGAAAATCAACGGGGCCGGGTGGCTCTCCACGGAACAAACCAGCGATACGGTTTCCTGCTTCAGCGCGCCAACGACTACCTCGCTTCTGCCCTCCTTGCAAACTGGCGTGTCTGCGAATGAAAGTCACGTCCGTTACTACATGTTCGAAGAAACAGTGGATTATCACGGGCAACGCTTCGACGTTAAGTAGGTCGTTTCGTGGAAACGAATATTTCTCAATCGCGACAACATATATTAAGCGAGTTGACCTTCTGTTGAAACGATTTTAGTTCTTGGTAGATGGAGACGGGTGATCATGTGCGAATGAAATGTAAATGAATGAAAGGAAGTGTCGAGGAACTAACTTTAACCTTCGATGAATATTTCAGCATTACATTCAGATATTCCATTCAGTTTGTTTCTAGCGTGTACATTTCTTTTAGTAATTTCTATGAAGATCGCTGAGATATTTTTGTATACATTAGGGAGAG